TCAAAATGTGTTTGTGGTTTAGCATTCCTTTTTGGCCACCCCTCAGATTATTGTCTGGAGACTTGGGATTTGGATCCTTGTATGTATTAAATAGCTGGAGCTTGAACGGAGTGCAGTGCCTCCCTGCTTCTAAGGCACTAAGGCATATTTCCAGCCTTTTAATAGCTTTCCAGCCCCTCTGATGGAGACTTTTTGTTCACCTCCAATCAGATGATTGCAGCCAGGTGATTTTTATTACAGAGGTATATCATTGTCTCAGATTTTCTCCATTTGTGTCACAAACATCATAGATTATGAGCTGTTTGTCTCAAATGCTAGCTTGTGCGGCTTGGGGAAAAATACGGCTATATTTTACTCAAAATTTCATGCTATCTGCCCTTAGATCCAAGTTACTGTAGAATAAAATCATTTCTGAAGTTGTACATGCACTTCTTGTATTTTGGTAAAAGATCAGAGAGACTAACATTATGCCCTTCTTCCCCTCCTCTCTCAGAGATTAACAGGATGGCTTTCCAGTTGTATTAATATTTCTTGGCCTTTCATTAGTCTTTCCTTTCCCCCTTCAGCTAGGGGACATTTTATTGCAATGAGATGCATTCTTTAGTGTACTAATCATAAAAGAATGCATATTGGAAACTAGCAGAGCAGCAGTGTGTTGTTCTGTTTATACATTTACCAAACAGTATTTCTAAGTTATGTAGATGATTTGGGAGGGCTGACTTAGACCGTAGGTAAGACTGCCCCTTTGACAGAGAAATGGTAGCCAGTCACCTGCAGTGAAGTCTGTTGGTAAAAGCTGTGAAAGAGCAAGTGCTTACTTTTCAGTAAGAGATTTTTTTTTTTAAGATGGCTTTGTAAATATGGATACAGATGTAGATACCTGTAAATATGTGGATGTACATATGGATATCAAATATGGTACAGGTACCCTGCTTGCCTTCCCCCACAAAAGTGGAGTTTTCTTTTTGAGTAGGTATATGGAACTATAATGATCTAACCGCTGAAGCAAGCTAGCTACATTTTCTGTACTTCTGGGGTGAGGTATGGTGCAAGGGCATGCAGGGCATATGCCTCAGCTGACCTGCTGACTAAAAGTTTGCAGGCTTGTATGTGTAGGTACACACGTACCTTTGGGCATAGAAGTTGCACTGTATTTCAAAGACTACAGGTTTCTGCATGATTTTAACTTCTTAATTATGAATGGACTGTATCTACTGGTGTATAGAAAGACTGTAGCAGCTTCTGGGTGAGTTAGTTTTTCTGAAGTGCTCCTTCTAATTTATTATTTTTGCTTTTTTTTCCTCTCCATTTTAGAACTTGGGTGCATAAATAAATTAAGAGTTTTCATACGTGAGAGCTGGAGACCAAGGTTGAATTGCTACAGTATTCTTATATAGATAAGGCTTTGGATCTCCTGTGCTAGCATTCTTACTCGGTATTACTATCTGTCTTCATTTTATTTTTTCTTTAAAGAGCTCTTTAAAGAGCTAAATGTCATAATGATGGCATTTAACTGAACAGTTCATTGGCTAATAGAGGCAGATTTAGCTGTACGCAGAGGAAGGGACTGAAGAGGTTCTAGGCACCTCCATCTCTTAATCCTGTCTGCATTGTGTGAGCTGTAGATCTTAAGATGTACTTTTGGCAACTTCACTTTTCCCATACTGTGGGTAGATCTGGCCCTTTATAGCTGAAGAGCATTACAATTTGCCATTTACTCCATGATTGAAGTCCTGATAATTTATATTCTGCTGTGTATATAGGTGCTTACTGCATTCTCCCCTCCCCCTCCTTTCCCTAAGATAAACTTATTCTTTAACTTCACAGGGAGTTTTATTTTTCCAGACTCTGTAGTGTTCTTGAGCCATTCTTGGAGAACTTCTGGGTTCTTTATTCTGCTTTGTTTTTTAATTAGGTATAAAATTAGGTACAAATACAACACTTAAGCTAAGATTTAATAGTTAAGAAGGCGTGCCACTTAGCTAGTTTTAAACCTTGTGCTCCTGCTAATACGATGTTTTTAATGTAGGTAATCTGGCTGTATCGGCATTGTATGTGTTGAGTGCTCTGAATCCAAAGCCGCATCTAAAATGCAGCACTGTTCCTCTGTGGAACGCTTGCAAATAAATAATTTGCATACCTTCAGAAGAAATTTTGAACGTTGAAGGTGTTTCTAATAGATGTACATATGATTTTGCTACCGTATGTTGTGAATTACCTTTCCTTGTAACCTTACAGTCAGTTGCTGCTTGGTTCTTTAAAGCTTTCATTTAGAAACCAAAAGGAAGACTATAAAAAAAAAAATTAAAGTAACATTTGTAGAAAGAGGATGTCTGCGGTGGTATGCCTTTTTATGTGCTGAAACAATGGATAATTGCTTCGTCAACAATTTGTCTGTGAGAGTTTCATTTCATGGACATGGATGTAGTCCTTGCAAACACATATATAGGCTCATTCAATGTGTAAAATCAGAATTTCAGCTTCCAAATGAAGAGCTGCAAGCTCGCATCTGCTTTATTTTCTTCCAGTGTCAAAGTATAGATGTGTGCTTGTCTAGGAGATAATAGCAAATGAGATTGCTCTGTGTGTGACACACTCAAGGCTGGGGGGAGCTGTGAGATGGAGAATAATTAAGCTTCTAACATCTGTCCCAATCATCTGGGGCCTGAAGTGGATTTAAGCATTGTATACTATTGGAGTGTTGTGGAACATGCATTTGGTTTTGCTTCTAGAATCTCTTTAATTATTATTCATTGATTTTTAAAGGCCAGAGGAGCCATATGACTGTTCAGCGTGAGCCTCTGTGGTGTTCAGGGTGTTTCACTGAGTTGTCCCTGTGCTGCAATCAATTACTTGCGTTTGAGTAAAGTTTATTTTCCAAAGAGGCTTCCTTTCTCTTTTAAAAGGCTCTAAGAGATGGAGAATTTACCACTTACTGAATAGTTTCTTCCAGTGGCTGTCTTTCTTATATTTTGGCCCTATTTTTAATTTGAATTTGTAGAAGCCCAGGTTCTCTCTGTGTATCGTGGCCTTTATAAGATTAATTTTAAACTCTGCAAAAGTCATTGCTGTTCCAGCTATATCAAAACAGACCTGTTTGCATCAACAGGGTTTTTAATACGCTCATGACTCTTTTCCCTTAAAAAAGAAAAAAAAAGACGCGCACACACACACACAACTAATAGAAAATTATTTACGCTATTAGTTTTTAGAATTCTAACCACTGATCTCATTGCTTTTTTGACAGTGATGTGAGCCTTCCAGATATTTACTGTAGATAGATTTAGTCTAATTCAAAACCTGAAACTATACTACCTGTGCAAACTTGCAGTAATTTTAATAGTGAATAATTTCAAATAATATATAATTTAATAATGTAAATAATAATTTGAAAGCCTTTTTGTTACTAATTATCAAAAAAATAGGGAAGACAGACCTTTTGTTTTTACTAGGTAGCTTCACTCAAGAATTTTTCACTTGCATGAGGCTGATGAATAGATAAGTCTTTAAACTTTGAAGAGTTAAAATTTCCAGATAGTTGCTCCTGTTGGCAGCTTTGTTCCTGCTCTCCACATAAGTTCAGGTAGTATTTCCCCCCTGGAAATATAAACGCAGATTCAGCCAACCCAGCTGAGAAAGTATCAAGTCTAGTAAACGATACTCTGGAAAAGCCAAGTGCTCTGATTCTTGTCCCGTATAGGTGCGTACTGAGGCAGTGGAAGGGAAGAGTGAATACTGATGAGTTGTCTCTGAGTAGCAGGTGAACTGTGCTATTTTCTGAGCAAGTAGGGAGAAACCAAACTTTAGGAAGTGTCTGCAAAGCTCTGCAAGAGAGACAGGGATCAGTGTAGAGGAAAAAATGGAAGGGGAGGAAAAAGTGAATTCTGGAGCTCTCATTGTAGTAAACAGAATAGAGAAGAGAAAAAGCATGTTCTTGTTTTATAAGCAGTTATGCTTCAAATTGTAATAACTTTTAAAGTGGCATGGGGGTATGAAGGTTCACATTTCTCTCTGCATAACTTTCATTACAAACTGTTTCTGCAGAAAGAAAAGTGAACACCCCTATTTTAAAGTTCTATTAAAGTCATTGCATGTGGAATAATTCTTAGATCAGATGCCAAGAAAAGGTGTTTCTTGAAAGAAGAACCTTTTTCTGGTTTTCTCCAGTAACTTTCTCATGCTTGATTTCTTCTTTTCCCTTTCTCTTCCACGAGGTGGCACTGTCTCTCCTGGGAAGGACACAAATACTTTAGCTTTCTTTTTGAGAGTCAGCAGGGTTGAGAGATACTGCGAAACATAACTCAGTTCATGAGTTTTATGAGAATGGTTGTACTTTTCATTTGATATACAGTGTATCTGTTTGACATGAGTTATGTCCATGTTCTCATGTATGAAAAGCACAAATTTTTGGTCAAGTAGTCTTGTCTTAGAAAAACATCACCTTGAGTTTCTTGTCTGCTTTTGTTTACTTTCTAGAAGATTTCAAGCATTTGCAGGAGTCTTTTACAGTATGGGAATTCAAGTGAGGTGATGTTGATCCTAGAACACTAGTCTACTTACTTTGACACAAAATTTTGTGCATTTTGATCATTTCTTTCCATGTTCAGTAAGTATCCTTATTTCCAGGTGGGAAGAGAGTAATTTCTAAAGGGTTTGGAAAATCCACCAAAGCCCTTTTCTCTGATACAAAAAGGGTATATGGATTAATGACAATATCCCTGTAAAAAATATAAGCCACACGTGTTCTGTAGAAAGGGAACAGTGCCATTGCTGCTCCTGAATTCTCTCAGCAGATGCTTTATTCCCAATCTTCCTCTCGCCGATTTAAGAACTCTCAAGTAGAGAGGGCATGGTCTTCCCCTGGCCCCTTGTTGGGAGGTTGTCATAGTTAGCTATTAGAATAAACCTCCAGTTTCAGTGGATGTTGTTTTACCTTAGGAGAATGGGCCATTGTTAAATGCTTTCATTACATGCTTTTCTTTTTTTCTGGCTGGTGTCTAGAAAAATGGAGGAAGAGGATGATGATGTTCCCCAGCTTTCATCCCATACATTGGCTGCCCTGCAGGAGTTCTATTTGGAACAACAGCAGAGAGAGGGCATGAAGACCTCTCAGGAATCTCATCAATATTCTGTTGGCTCAATAGAAGAAAACTGGGTAAGAAACTAAACTTCAGTGAATGAAGCACAGTTAGCATTAGTGACCCATTAAGGAGGAACAACCATTAGCAGGTTTCTTTTGTGGATAAATGGATGATGAAATGAAAGAGGGGAACGCTCAGGGCATTCCTAGAATGGCAACATCTAGCAGTATTCGTGAAGAATAATACTGTAGGATTATTTGCCTTAAAAATAAATCTGGATATAGTTTTCTGTTCTGTGTGTGTGTGTGCGTGTGTGTGTATGCACTGAGAGGGAATAAAGCTACCAACAGAAGCATCTATCCCTTCTGCAAATTTTAACTCTGACCTGGCATGTAAAGGTAATGAAGATTCTTCCCTGAAATTGAGACAAACACAATGCAACAATAAGATCATTCTCTTTCCTTTCACATTATATTTATTTCTGTATTTTATTTCTTTGTTTTTGTGGATGGCTGCCTTGCTGCCTTTCTTTTTTTTTTTAACCTTGCAATTGACTGATTTTTTTGATTAACTCTCTCGGTTACTTTTGATTTTTACTCATCATGTTGTTTCTGATCTCCTCTTCTGATTTAGTGCTTTTGTGCTTTATTTCTTTCCAAACTGTCAAGTTTGTTTTTCCTGTTCCCCTAGAGTAACTTAATTTAAGAATACGTGTGAATCTGCATTTTTGGTTTGAGCTAACCTTGTCAGCGTTGTTTTTTTCTGATTCTGTAGTAAATGCTTTGGCAATGCGAAGTGTAAGATAACTGCTGCTTGTCACAGGATTATGAAAGTAAAGAGACTATTAGGAAAATCATCTCCTTTCCAACTTTACAGTTTGTGAACTGAGAAGTTGCTATGGATTTTAGTTTTCTTGAAGTGGAACTAACAAAACCTAGTTGTACACAGCATACTTGGAAGATGTGACGTTGTTGATAATTGCGTGTTATTTTTTTCAGCAACTGAGCCAGTTTTGGTACAGTGATGAAACTGCAACATGCCTGGCTAATGAAGCTGTTGCAGCAGCTGGAAAAGATGGCAAGTAAGTTTTAATAATTATTTTGCAGATTAAATATGTAATTTCTGTAAATATTCCATGTATGTTAAGAGGGCCTAAGTTTAATTCATTTCTCTTGGTACTTCATGTATAGTTGGTGGAGGTGCTGCACAAATGCTTTGCAGTTATTTATTTATATAATTAATAGTTCAGACTCTCTTACCATTTAACATTTCACTGAATTTTGTAGGCCCTGCCAAGTAAAAGTTTACTGTGGATCCTTTTTTTCTGAGAAATATAGAGTTCTAGATCTTGATATCTGTATTTTGTATATAGTATTACTTGTAATTCTTTTCTCTGTTTTCTTACAACAATAGTTCTCTACAGCAGACAGAAAAACTCGTTTTTCTTCGTACTTCTTTAAGGAGTAGTTTTTAATTTTAACTTAAATTTTCAATTTATTTATTTGCTGTTGTGAAATAAGCTTTTCTTCATAGTTACACTTAACGTCTTTTTGCAGCATGGAGGTTGAATATGTAATGGCCTAAATACCTCACGCACTAGTTATTAAAGTTCTATTAAAGTAATTAAATGTATTTTGGAGGTGTTGTATACAGTTGTCACAAACTTGGTGCTCAAGAATTCTTCAAAATACATAGAATACCAGTTTTATTTGTGGCTGTCAGAAATTTTACGTCTATATCCTAAATGTCAAAGATTAATCTTTTCCTGGCTAATGCTTTCTGTGTGGAGCCTGTAAGAGTCAATACCCCAATAAAAAGGAGAGACAAGGCATGTTTTGCTAATTGATGTGCAGTTAGCAGTGGTCAGCTTAATGAGCACTTGGATTAAGCCGACGCTGAGATGCTAGTCTTCGCAGGGAGGGATGGAGTGTTCTCCCTGTGCCAGAGTATTGGGAAGAAAAAAAGTTAACAGGCCAGGCCGTGAACTGAACAGTTGAGACACAAACAGGCTTTCCTTTCTGCCAGCTCTACTGCAGGAGTCATAAACTCCCAAAGAGAAGCGAAACAGGCATTTGGTCATCATAACATGTTAGATCCCAGCAATGAGAAATGACCTAATGAGATCACCTGTGAGAGCCCCAGTCATGAATCAAGCCTATGAATTCAGTCCTGCAAAAACTGCATATGGAACTAACAGACATATTCAAGCCATTTCATTAGATTAAAAAACAGCTTTTGAAAAAATACATCTGTGAGAATTTGCAAGCCAATTCTTCTCAGAATACTTACTGAAGAAAGTATCTGATGTCTCTTTTATTTTTTTGTTTTCCTCTCTTCTGTTACTATTGCACTAACATGCTTTTAAAAAAATGTGTAAAGTTTTCAGCACGAGCTTCAAAACTGCAATGAGGTATTTGTTAGAATGAAGAAAGAACAGCTTACATTTTTTTGGAACAAATGCTTAAAATATTTTTCCAAAGCAGCCCTGAGAATTTATGGAATTGTCATTGCTCTAGTTGCTTTTGTGTTTGTTGCCTTTCGATATTCTAAGTTGTTGTCTCTTTTCAGGATAGCGTGTATTAGTGCACCGAGTGTGTACCAGAAACTGAAAGAGCAGGATGGCAAAGCTTTTTCAGTGCGTATACTGGAATATGACAGAAGGTTTTCTGTATATGGAGAAGAATTTGTCTTCTATGATTATAACAGTCCTTTGAATTTACCTGAAAATCTCCTGCCACACAGTTTTGACATTGTAATAGCAGATCCACCCTATCTCTCGGAAGAGTGTCTTCAGAAAACTGCAGAGACCATAAAATACTTAACGAAAGGAAAGATTCTGCTTTGCACAGGTATAATCAATTTCTCTTTTATGAGAGGAAACAAGGATGCTTAATGGTGATCTAAATATTTTTGAGACTTAGTTTCTCTAGTGAGACTAATACTAACTCAATAACGCTAATTTATAATTAATTCTAGGAAGAATATTTACCCTGAAGAGGAAGGATAAACTCCCTCCCCCCCCCCCCCCCCCCCCGGAGTACTTCAGTTCAACTTTTCTTTAATCTGAAGAAATGTGTGTAATTAACATCAGTACCTTTTTCACACAACATGATGAGTTTTCGTAATTTTTGTGAAGATGATCCTGAGAAGTTCCAGAAATATTTTTTCTTGTAAAAGGGATGTTCTCTATAATTGTTATGATTGAAGTCTGGCTATGACAAACATAGATGCGATTTATTGTTAATGTTATTTTAATGTCTTAATTTGTTTTTTTCCTAAACATCTGTAAGTAGCTAGAAGATTTAAGCTTTTGTTTCCTTCTCAGTAAAATTGAAGTTGAGCTAGAAGGACAGTAGAAAGAATGACAAATAGGTTGGAATGGCCTTTACTCAGTAAAATGGGATGCTTTTAACCAAGCCTTAAAAAAATTTTTAAAAAAATTTATATCACCTACTCCTTTCTGGTAAAAACAGCAACTGTAATGTGAATTAATCTAAGAGGATTCTGCCACTGTGAAGTAATCAGTTCTTGGGCATTGAAATACTGCAGGAGGAGTTAAGAGCAGTGAAACTAGAAGACTTATCAACTGTACTTGCAGGCCTTTCTTTATGAAGATACACTTGCTAATTTAAAAAGCTATGAATATCTGCTTTGCTCTTGGTGTTTCTTAAACTGTAATCTATAAAACATCTGAAAGTGGTCCAAGAAATATTTGTTATAAATAAAGACAAAAATTCCTGTATACGTACAGTTCTGGGAAGTCAAACAAGACTAAATGAAGAAAAATGAAAATAATGTCTGGACATAAAAAGCTTACTACTTTGTTTAATTATAAATGGCAGCAATGCAAAAGATCGTTCATAGAAATTTTTTTTCCTAAAATGGATAGGTGGTCCCTCAGTTTACAAAGTTTGGGATATACTGCTCAAGGAAGTGATTTCTCAAAGTATATAGCTGTAAATATCACACTAGGGTTTATTTAAGTGGTACAGAATATGTAATCTGTTTGCATTTTCCATGGCTCCCTACCATGTAATTTCTTTGGCATGTAGCAAGAAAATTGAGTCCAAATTTCTGTTTTCTCTAAAATGGGCAGTGATTTTAGCCTCTACCTAGTTTTATGAAACTTTTGGGACATTAATATCTTTGGGACCTCTACCATTTTTTCAGATTTAGTTAAAATTTCCCAAATGCTTCACTTGTTCAAGAGGGCTGACTCCCTCCTAAAGAGGAAGTTCCTTTGAGCCTTGCTTTCTTTAAAAAACTAAGCGAAATATATGTATCTGCGAGGAGCCGTTTAAAAAGCCCAAGCATTCTGTTACTGTTCTTCTTATCAAATACTAATTATTTTTGCTGCAGGTGCAATCATGGAGGAACAGGCAGCAAAGCATCTTGGAGTGAAGCTATGCAAGTTTATTCCAAGACACTCTCGAAATTTAGCCAATGAATTTCGATGTTATGTGAACTATGCTTCTGGACTAGACTGACTTTCATAAGAAGATGTAGAACTTTTTCAATCAAGTTCCTTTGTTTCTTTTCTCAGTGACAGAATTCTGCATTTTTGCAATGTTTCAATATTCCGCTCTGAGTAATGTGTTTTTTCTGGGCTAGCTTTAATCAACACTGCGTGCTAGCCTTTCTTTAAAATGTGTAAGCATTTGTAATTACCGTGTTTTGTATTTTACCTATTAGGTAATTGGGGACCAAAACGATGAAGGTGCTGGATAGTGGGAGCTTTTCTGGTAGAATTTTATTCTAATTGGTAGTTTTGACCACTCAAGGACTCTTCAGTGACCTCTCTGAAGTGTGTTAGGTTTAGCTGTTTGGCTAAACACCAGCACACATAGGTGCTTGCCTCACAGATATCCCTGTAATAATTTGCAGTAATGGGTAGCTTGGTAGCTAGTGGATGGCTGAAAGAGCATGAATACAGGTATCCTTTCAACCTTGAGCTATGCTCCCTTATAGAAGAATTGAGAGGCGTTTCTTCTGACCATGTCGTATTTTTTTACATTCATTAGCTGCCAGGCTAATGGGTTTTTTTTAATGGATAACTAGAAGAGAGAATAAGTTTTCTTCCGAGGAGGCCTCTCCCATTGCTTTAATTATCCGTAGAACTACCTAAGAGTTGTCAAGTAAGATAGGAACCATTGTCCATTGATTATTGCTCGACTGGCTTTTTTAAAAATTGTGGTTATTGTTTTATGCCTTTTCTGAAGCCTTGGCAGAAACCCACACTTTCTTTTTGAAAGGTAAAATGTATTTTATTATCAATTGTCATCATGTAAACTTGTGTATGAATGTGCTTTGCACTAGAAGGAAGTGATGTAAGTAGTTACACAGCTCTCTGCAGAGATACAGTGCATCTATTTTGGGATTTTTGTGTGTTACAGCAACAAAACCTCATGATCTTTTTGTTTTAAAAAAAAGTATCTTCTATTTACCAGGTAAGCTAATCTGCAGAGGAGTCATAGAACTGATGCTTTGTTTGAAAAAAAAAGCACAATAAGGATTTCCTTGTTAGAGGGAAATTTACCTTTGTAAAGAATCCTAAACACTAGTGAGATCAAATACAAAGTAACTACTAAATAAAAATGCAACAAGTCAGCCAGTGCTTGCATTAGTGCCCCAAACTGTTCATGTGTTTTCAGTTACTCTTACTGTTGGCTATGAGATATTTTTCTCTGCCGTTTTTCTTTGCCCATTTTTATCTTTGCCTCCTGTTCCACAGATGGAAACAAGGGAAGTAGAAAAGAAGTATTTTAGAAAGAGTTGGTTTTTATAAGTCTGCTGAGGTATAACATAATGTATTGATAAACTTCTGTTTCTAATACACTAATGTTAAGTTTTGTATAAGCGGTTTTGGCCATCTTTCAGTCAATTTCAATCAAAATAGATACCTACTATTCCAAAGGAAAATTTGTTTTTAATATAGTATTTTTGAAACTCTGGGAATTTTTAAAGCCAGGATTCTCTGACTTTTTGGCTAGACTCCCAAATTGCAAAGCCTTTAACAGTTTTATCAGCTGTAAGTATATGACATGTAAATATTTATCTTTACACAGCATATTTATGTACTGGGATTGTGTGAAAGGCTAACAGACACGGTGCATCTGCAAAATGAGTCACCTAGAAGGAAATATTAGGAAATGTATTTTGTGGTGGGGATGAACCTCAATAAGCTTCTGAGACAATAATTTTAATAATTGAGAGATGATACTCGTGTTTCTGTGCATTTCTCCTGTTAGAATGCAGATTTCCAACGTTTTGTGGAATAAACAAGTGAGCAGTGATACTGAGGATGTGATACACCTCTTTCAGCGCCTGGATAATGTGCTTACTGAGTTGAACGCGATACTGCTTCAAAAATACCTTTCCAAGTCACTGTTGCTCTCTTCTCTGCTTTCCAAGAGCTCTCATTTCCTAAGACTTCTTCCTCCTCACTTTGTTTCTTTTATTTATTTGCTGCTTTTTCTTTTTTTCTCCATATAGTGTTCCTGACTTTCATGATGCTGGTTTTCCCTTTCTTTCACTCGTGTTGGTTTCTACCAGAGTGACTGGTAGCAGATACTGTTGAAAAGAGGAGAGTGCAGTAGGAGAAGAGCTCACAAGTGAAGTAGAGAGACAGAGCCATTATGAGAGTCACTGTAAGCATGTGTTTGGTACAGTTTTACCTTTCAAACCAGAAACCATTCTTACCACAGAGCCCACTAAAGCCAGAATCTCCCCTCACAGGTGACATAACAGCTGGGTTTAGCTTTTTTCCAGAAGACTAAGGCATTACTTTCATGTGACTTGGAGTTTCAAAATAAGAAAGCAAACAGAATGTTAAATGCATAGGTACTGGCACAAATCTCTACTTCACAATCGTAAACTGTTTTATGTTTATCACTTTAAATATCTTGCCCACTAAGCACACGTAGACAATGCAATATCTAGTAACTCCTGAAATTTTATTTTTAATAGCATAAAGGCTTCAAATGGGACTGATGTGGTTGCCAGAATTGATGACACGGGCGCTGATAAGTTGCCTTGTTCTTCCTCCTCACACCCATCTAAATTAAAATATGCTGTTCAAATACAAGCTTTACCTATGTTGCTTCACTGTTAAGGTCATTTTGTCTACCTCTTTTTGCTAAGGATGTGTTGCTTGGCTCTCCACCTCAGACTTGCGAAGATAGCTTCACTAACTTCATCAGGGACACGCTTCCTTTCTTAAAAAAAAACTCGGTACATCCAGTACCATTGACACGCAAGCATTTAGTTTCATCAGCAAGAAAATAAATGCCACTTCTCACATGTAAGTCAGACTGCTTTGAAAAGAGGTACTGTGAAGATGCATGATTATGAAAATGAGGGTACATGTAAATCTTTGTAGATGCACTCAATAGAGCAGCCTGTTTTCTACTGGCTTCCCTCTTTTAAAAGCTTTGTGAGCTTGGGCAGCTGTGCAAGCAGAGTTTGACTAGTAGTATTCACAGCCTTCATCAATGATACGATTTAAGCTATTTTTGTCGTTCTTTTTTTCTGAGGAAGTAGCTGTGTTTTTGGAAAGGTTACAAGTCACAAAAAGTGATAGTGAATTTGTACTTTGTGCCATTATGGTAACTTAAAATTATGCAATAAAATATCTTTTCTGTACTAGGTTTATTTAAAAAAAAAAAAAAAAAAGGTCATCAATGTCAAGAAGTGATTTGGTTTTCTTTTGTTATATATCTCTTTTAGATCAGCTTTGTAATCAGAGTGTGGTCAAGTTAGCCTCATGTCCCTCTTCCAGAAACTTATATATGACTACAAAGTCATATATGCTACAGCCTCTTAGCTGCGGTAACAGGCGTTGTGCAGCAGAAAGAGCCCTTTCAATGCCCTGTAGTTACGCATGTCGAAACGAGTGAGACAGTTGGCAGAGGAATCCTGTTGACTTGTGCACTGTCTGATGACTGTATGTGGAAGAGAGTATACCACAGCTGCCTGCCTCAGCCCCCCCCACCCCTGGTGGCCACTGAAGTATTTCTAGAACTGCTGTTGCATGAAATCCAAGGTACTGCTTTCATTAAGCATCTAATCTCATTTCTCTTTTAAAAATTGTGTGGTGCTCATCTTAATGTTACACACTTGCAGGTTCTCTCCCATAAAGCAGACCTCCTCCCAGCTGCCACTTTGTACCAGGGCAAGTGGGAGATATTTCTGCTGGTGGCTTTTGTCACTCCCCCTTCCAGGGAGCAGCCCCTGAGCAAGACCATGTAGCTGTAAAGCAGGACCTTTGGGATTGGGTTCCAAAAGCCACTTCAGCAAACTTGAGAACTGGGCTACCTCCCCACTGCCGGTTGTATTTTGCGGTCTTCGTGGCGGTAGCTTATGCCACTACTCAGCAAAACATGACTAGATTGACTAGATCTGCCTTGTGTGTTCCCTAGTCCGTGTAGCTGTGCTGTTCCCTAATCCCAGAAAGATTAGTAGATGTTTAGACTTCTGAGCATGTGTAATACCCACCCTTTTCTTCTTTTCCCCTTGCTGCTTGCGATTTCATGTTTGCTTGCATCTGGAGACCGCTGCCTGGTTGCAGAAACACTGTCATATAATGACTGGCTAATAAACCAAAACTAACATCTCAAGATTTCTACCTTCCTGCCTGTGAATTTTTCAAGCTATGTTAAGTGATACTACAGAGAAGAAAATAATCTCTTTACCAAGAATGTTGTTCTGGTTTGTGGGTCCTAATATATTCCAGGGACAACCTCATTGAAGGAAAAGATTTTCCTGGCACAACAAAAATTGTCTCGAATCGGCTGCAGCTGCCAGATAGTTTCAGCTTTGAATTGTTTGCATTTATTGGACCTGGAGTGGGTTCAATGAAGCATTTCATATCTGCCTTGTGTCAACAGTTTGTGAGCCTTGAAGCAACTCCAATGAGCTCTCCTCCCCACCATGCAAATTAAAGGCAGGGCTACAACAGTTGTAACCAGAGGGCTAGAAGCTGGAAAATGTCACACCACAGTTGAGGCCAAATTGATATAAATCCATGATGTGATGATAGCTGGAAAAAAAAAATTCAAACAAATGCAAACTACATTTAATACTCAAACTTTTCCACATCGGTAATGTGGAGAGTTGTTACATATGAAAGGGTATTATGAAGGTTAACAAATGTTTGTATAGCTGATAGCTCTTGATGTTAAGTACTAACAAACGGTTGTTCACGAACAAATTATTAGCAAGCGTTTGCTTGCTCTAAAACATAAGCACAGCCTTTAAGAGACGTGTAGCTGGAAAGCTGGATCTGGAAGCAAACTGGCTCAGCTAAAAAGTTTTTCAGAGAATGAGGATTAAAAAGGGGAAACGGGATTCTGAGTAAGATAACATAAGGTTGCCTGTAACCCTGTGGAAGCCTTCTGCACTTGTTGCAGAATGAAGAGAAGGAGGTCTCCGACATGCATAATCTATTGATCCACTGAGATTTTGCAGTTCTCTAATACTTTCCTTTTAGTCATCCAATTCCTGAAGCTGTAAGTAAGCTAAAGCATCTGTTTTTCTGGATTAGCTAAAGAGATCGTGTTCCATTTACCTGATCTTAGCCTGCTGCTCCCAGTAATTCCAAAAACATGCTCTAGTTATTTGAAAACCTCACACTGATTCTGTAATTTATGGCTGAAGGACAAGGAAGTTGCAACAAAAAGTGACATTTTCTCCATATCATGCAAATCAATCCATATGCTTTAGTAATTGATTTGTTGGAGACCCTGGTTTGTGAACCAAAAGGGTATGGGCAGATACATGAGTTTTTGTGGGAGGGTAGTGTTTGTTAGAAGCTAAATTTCTGTACTTTAGCCAATATCCTTTTTGGATGTTTACTGAATGTTCAGAGTTTACCATTTTTGATTTGTGTGTGTGTGTGTTTTTTGCCTTCTTATTCTTTGAAGACTTTGCTTTACATGCTGTGGCATCTGAAGGTCCAATTTCACCCTCTGAAGCGTTTGTGTGCAGGCGGGGGTGGGGGAGGCAGTGAGGAAGGCAGAACAACCACTGCATAATAGTGAAACCGTAAGGACCTTCACTGCTGAAGCATCATCCAATGCCATGTTTCTCACGCTTTGTAAGTCTGCTTCCCTTTTGAGCCCCTCTGCCTTCAATTTCCAGTTCTCTCTTCTCAGAGGGTGAGAAGTTCTTCCACACTAGGAGGAATGAAAAATGGCTGTAATTGCAGAAAGTATTTACATTCTCCAGGGAACAGGTAGCTACCTTTAATTGCTGGCAGCAGCTGGGCTATTAGCTGTTCTTTGAGTAGTATAAACACTTTATGACCTCCTTTGAACCCTTCTTTGGGAATCCCCTTGAGATATGAGGGTCACAATTTGCGGAGACAGATCTAAAGACAAGTATAATTGTGAAAAATCATCTACATAGAAACACAGTTACAAATTTCAGTATGACATTGTGATGGGAATCTGTTACTTTTAAAGGTTTCGGGTGTTCTTAAAGTTCTTATAGGATAGGTAAGAAGCTAGACAGATTGCACTATAAAAATACTGTTATACCAAGTTATAAAGAGCATGGTCAATGATTATACACCAAGACAAGGAGTTGTTATATGATTTTATTTCTATATTTACCTTGTTAATTCTGTTTAGCTCATAGTCTTTCCATTTCTCATCCACTCCAATGGAGTGTGTTTTTTGTGTAGGTTAGAGCCACACTTCCACATGGACCAAGCATAATTTTGAGATTCTTGATGTAGCAAATATTTTGCTGCATGTGGTATTTATTCTCTTTCGTAATGAAACTGCAGTCACAATCCTTCAACTGTAAAAGATACTTTCTGCTGTTCATTCAGAGATTTATCAAATTTGGAGCTTGTGGGCCTCTCAGGGTTTGTGGTCAGGCAAGGTATGCCTGGTTATTACTGGCCATCATTCACTAGACTAAGTCAGCCTTCAGTCCCTTGTTCTGCAGACACAAGTTTTTGTGTATCTGTCTAAGGTGTATAGTTAGGTCTTGCCCTCAAGTTTCTGTAACCTGCAAAGACGTAAGGCTGAATGCTGTTCTACAGACTAGCATGTTTTGCAGGTGATTATCTGTATGTAATTGCAGCATGGGAGAAAATGGTAGCACTCATTATATTAGTTAGTTAGAGTTAGCTAAGTGTGGTTTGGCTGGGACTCATCTCAGTGACCCCTGTCCAAAGTAAAAGTTATGCACCTGGTCTGTGTACTCATCTACTGATCCTCTATAGCAATTGGAGAGAGAGGTGCCTCCAGAGAGCTATTCATCTTAATCTGAGGCAAGTGGCAAAGACTCATCAGATGAATTTCCCTCAGGAGGCCTTTCTCTTATTCTGCTGTAATAGAGGAATTCAAGTCTAGACCACCTGGCTTTTTTTTTTTTCAGATGCCTTAAGGTAGGTGAGATGAAGCCTACTCTTTGTATTTAATTTATTTTAATAGATAATTTCCTTTCCTAACATGAAAAAGGTGTTACCCATGCAGCTTTACAGAATACAGTTTTATCACAATTAGCAATTAAGAGGTTAATGATGAATGAAATCTAATATAGAATTACTAGGTCCGAAATTAAACTGGTATTTTCTATGCAGTTAGACTTAGCCCACATCAAAAAAGTCTGCTGTGCTTTTCTAATACTCTCGAATGCTTTTTCTCAACACTTTTATGTTCTTAGCACTTTGGCAAATTAAAAAATAACAAACTCATAGAATATTGTTTCATGATGACTCCAGCTCAGCACAGGTTCCCATGTTGTAGCATATAAATAGCCAAAGGTGTAGCAGCCAAGAACACTGCTTGGAGTTAAGATATATAGTATAAAAGAAAGGCTTTCCCAGCCTGAAACAATCATCTTTTTAACTGCTGATTTGGTACATGTGCAGCAGTTATGTGATTTTTTTTTATATAAGAGTATCTAAAGTAGAGTATAAGAGACTCCTTAAAAATATCTACAACCAGCAGTCTGCTATAATAATAGCTAGCATGTCTTATGGTTGCATCCCCTTCTAAAATTCACTGTGGATAAGCAAGGGTAAAATGTCCTGCTCTAAAAAAACTAAAAAAAGCTACATTGGCATTTGCAACAAATACTTAAATAAGCTAAAAAAGTTCTTAATATAAATTGTCATCTCTAGTGATCTGAATGACTGGACAAAACTTTCCATCTTATAACTGAAATGGCTGCAAGTAGAGAAATGATAAGTTTTCTGCTGGTTTGCAGTTTCCTGAGGTGTGAAATGACGATGTGAAGCCAGTACTGCACACAAGATCCTTTATATGTATGTTCTTCATTCTGACGATGGCTTGTTCTGGTTTACCAGCAACTTCATTTCTTGCTTATCTATGCTGGAATTCACACTTTCAACCTCTTTTTCTTGCTCAGGTACACAAGTGCAGCCCACTGGAATGGTGACATAATCTTCCGTGTACACGTAGCGACCTCCAGCACAAGAGGAGGTGCGACGCAGGATGACTGTTGGCATGTACACAGGGGTGCTGCGGAAGTGAAAATTCTCCTCACCAAAGATCCCCATGAGGCAGCCTTTGCACAGACAGTATGCTTCTGGAATGTATTTAGGATATCTTGTGGGATCATATGAAATTCTACATGGAAGTAAATAATAAAGATGCGTTAGTATTTTTAGAAATATAAGTATTCATCTAGAAAACTATATTATAAATGTTGACAGGGTGTTTGTTTGTTTGTTTGTTTTTTTGGCCAGGAAAAGTAGATATAGTTGTTGCTGTCAGGCTTATGTGTAAAGTGGAAGAAAAAACACGAACAACTTATTCACCTGATCGAGGTCTACAGCATGCTAAGATATGAAGTGCCTGGCTTTGTAAGATGTGAGACTCAGAGGTTTAGACAGAACTGCTTTGAATTTTGGACGGAATGGATAACTGAGGCATTAAAAATGAAAACTGGATGTTTCCAAATTTTTGATCTGCCCTGAATTCTTCATAACTTTTTACAAATTCTTGTTAAATTATTACTGTTGAAGCCACATAACATGATGATTTAAAATTTTATAATTTAAATAGAATTAAATTATATAATTCTTCCTGCAATAGTTCTCACTCCCTAGCGTGCTTGGTTGGGGTGTTAGGCAAAAGTTCCTTCATCTTTTGAACAGAACTCTACATTTCTTTTCTCTAATTTACCTCTAACTATCGTCTCTACTTCTCCCATCCTTCTTTTCTAACCAAAGAGGAAAATACTAACCTTTACACGGCCACACCGAGATAAACTACAAAGTTAAAAGTTTTTGCTGCCCCCTCCTGCTACATTGTCTCAAAGCTTCAAGAGTATTTCCTCTACTTCTTGTTTTACGTAGGTCTCCCTTTCTCTTTGCTTACTGATGAGCCCTGTCCCTGTCTCTGCATACGCTGACTAGCAGTACTGGGAGAGTTGGTACCCAGAGCTATAGCTTGGACTGATGGAGTCCAGGATACAACATTCTTCTCTGAACATAGTTGGAGGGAGAAATAAGGATGTGATGTTTTGGTTTCAAGTAACACAGATCCTGCCTTGTCTGATTCCTGGTGTTTTCAGCAAAAAAAGTAAAAGCTGATTGATAGGTTGTTTTTTGAAATAAAAAATTGAGTACACGGGGTTAAAACTGAAGGATGTTGCCACATCATTGCTTATTGGGACGGTTTATTTTTTGCTTATGTTCTTTACCCACTTTTTCTGCTTATATGGGAAGTAATTCTGTTTAACTCATATGCCAACTGTCCTCTTTGCTTCTGTAACCTTCCTACAGATCACATCATTGTACTCTGACACTGTCACGAAATCAAGCCTGCCTCAGGAAGGGTTGAACCATGCAGCTGGAGAGGGCTGACTCCTCTCTCTGGCTTAGACTGTAGAACACTGCTACAGGCTGTTACTGACAGAGAGTGTCAAGACGCTTTGGCAGGTCATCTAGTCCAAACGCCTCCACTGAGGCAAGCTCAGATATATTTGCCAATGTTTGTCCAGCTCCTTCTTAAAAACCAGCACAGGAGAGTCCACAGTCTGCCCAGAGGCTCTCTTGCAGTGTTTCACTGCTCCTTTATTTGGTAAGTTTCCCTAAAAGCCAAATGGAGTATTTTTTTTCTTGCAAGCTAAGCTGATCATTTCCTGGCTTTGGCCTAGAAGTTAGACCAGCTCATCTCTGAGACTAAAAATTCAATAAGAGTCAAAGAGAGATTTGATGTTAGGGGATATTCAAAGACTCTAATGTTTATGTGATGTGAAGCACTGTAAAAACAGTTAAACCACTTGCTCTAGGTTTTAAACCAGCCTCTATTTGGGATCAGGCTAAGACCGCCATGCAATGACTGAAGACTGTATCTGTTTACTCTGGGTTCTTTTGAATTTTTACTGTTGGTGCTGGAAAGTACCTTTGGAAGAATCACAGACATGATGGAGTGTAGCCGTAGAGCTAAATCACTCCCAGTAGTAGCAGATGAAGTGGGACAATTATTTATGAAAAATGAATAAATACTTATCATCAATATAATTATTTATTTTTTGGGTGATGCAAACTGACTAAACAGACTGACTGACTAGGTCTTCCCTTAATAATTTTAAAATAAACAGTTTTGGGAAAAAGAAAACAGAATGAATTTAAAGTAATTCCTAAATTACATCTCTCAGAATGTCACAGGCAAAGCATCAGGCTTTGAACCAGTTTCTCAGGTATTAAAGCTTTAGTTTTTATCTTTGTTTCAAGGGTCTATGAGATGAGAAGAGTCTTCTGCCGTGGAAGCAGCAGTAACAGCCTGTCTATCTCAAGCTGTGATTTCCCAATCACTTTTATGCAACAAAATCTGCAGCTGCCAAAACAGGCATTGCAGCTCCCCTCTTGCCTGTGCGCTTGTGTCAATGATCAGGGAATTAATCTAACTGGAAAGCAACCTAACCAAAAGCTGGATTTGGGACTTTTAGTTCTATTACCACATGTATTAAAAAAAAAAAACACCACACACTTGCAAAAACAAGGCAATGTGAACAAGCAGCTGTACACAAAGGGGTGATGGTGGGGTCCTGCCTTTTCAGGCAAAGTGGCACCAGTTTGTCAGATTAAATAATTCCATAATCACAGCTTTAGCCAAAAACAACTGTGATTTTTTTTTTTTTAAATGAAGGAATTTGTTTCTCTCACAGGAAAAAAAAAAATCTGACTAATTCTCTCTTAGCCAGAGATCTCTGATGTTGCAGGGTGGTTTAGTTTTTTGGGTTTTGGTTTTTTTTTTTTTTAAATACCTTTATGTTTGCTTACTTTCCCAGGAAATACCTTCATGTTTCAGACACTCACACCAATGTGAAATAAAATATTAAAAAAAGGTCTGTTAGCCAGCAGAAGGGGAGAAAGCAAAATACAATCTTACTTTTCCCTTTCATATATTCCCATTTCAAACTCAACTGTGAATAATTTCAGTGGTGGCTTGTTACATACACCATATGTCAAGTCACTGGTATTTCCAGTGCTGTGTTATCGCTAGCCTCTGGTTTATGATGTTACTGGAAAGCGTGAAAATGCTTTGATGCAAACATAAGAGTTTTTACTAATAACAAGACAACAGTCTCTCAGGAATTTTGACTGAGCCACAAACTTTCCCCTTCAGAACTCTCACATGGCAAAAATCAGATGTAATTGATCTATTTTTTTTCCAGCAAGATGGCATGGGGATCAAAACTGACTTGCCGTAGAAAAAGAAAATACCTCTTCCATTCCTGTGTGGTGCAGATACCACTATTCCTTAATAAGAGGACTGGAAGGAATCAGAGTGGATCCAAACCCTTAAGATGGACCCAAAATATAGACCTGGTTTTTTTGCATCCAGCCCAAATTTGAAGGCCAACTGCTCTTAGTAACATCTCCAGGAATTAAACAGTGAACCAAAATGTCACTAAACTTTGGAACCATACCCAAGTTTCTTCAGCTCAAGTCTCAGTTAAGAAAGACTATATAATTGCAGACTCCTTTTAGTCTTTCTAGGCAGCCCAGTCTGATTTTGGGCTGAATGGCTAACAACTGCTAGTAACCTGACCATATATTTGTGTGACCTGCTTCTTCTGTTTCCATGTGTTTAACCTAATCACTTTGTGCATACAGCAGCCACAGTCTCCGCAACTATAGTTCAATGCAGCTCCATTACTCCCAAGCGTGACAAGGCACGTGTTTTTATGTCTTCTCCTAAACAAGCCAAACATGTGTGATTAAGTTAACTAACTGGACAAAAGCCTGCTCCAAACTCCCACTAGCTCTTTCCCATATGTAGCAAAAGCTGCCCCTAAGTCAGGTGGATGCAGCAGAATGAGCCAGGAAGAGAGATGGAGAACTCAAAAACTGCAGCCTTCCATTAGCACCCAAGTGTTTTCTGCCCCTCCCACCTCGCACCCATGTGTCATTTTGCCACAGCCACAGGTGTACAACTGTAGCCCAACCATTTAGACAAGGGTCCCCATCCCTGCAAATTGATGGGACTTAATCCTCCAGTTATTAGAGTGTCACATCAGTGCTGTGAGCCAGCAGCTCAGGTTTACAAACACAAGGAGCAGGGAGCTCTGCAGGGCTGCTGTGCTTGGACCTGCTGGAACAGCAGGAGGCTTTGTGCTGAAGGGGAACGCCTAATGAAGTGTGACTGCTTCCAGGTTGCTTTCCCTTAGGGCCCTGTGACTGCTCTGAGAGCTCCCAGTGAAACGCAAACTTCCTGCTGTTTGTGTACTAAGCCTGGAAACTCAAGAGAGAAATGTCTGTCAGAAGGGCAACTCGTACAAAGACCTGATCTGTCTTGTCCTGTACTGCTGCTCTCATAGGTAGTATTTTTAATAATATCATCACACTACAGTTTCCAAGCATTTAAATCCAGTAGGCCAGATGCCATGCTGGGGTAGGCTGATACAACTCTTCACAACTTTGCCAGTAGCGTTAGGCTATTCATTTGCACCAGCACTGTACCATCTGTAAATAACAAAAGCCAAGCATAATGTGAATTTAACAAAGGGACACTTGCTGTAGAGAAATAAATGCCTCACCAAGAGAAGAATAAAAAAATGTTCAGAGTGAGAAGTAAAGAAATGAAGCTCTGCATATTAAAAAACACCAGTAACATCCAGCTGTTGAACAAACACATACAAAAAAAAGGACAGCAGTTGTGCACCCCCTCGTACTCCTTCTCTGGGCTGCATCTTTGGGTTATGCATATACCATGTCACATGATAATGTTAGATTCTGGAGAATGACTTGGAAATAATTCTTGAAAATACCTAGAGTTTTATTTAAAGGAAAACCCTTCTCTCACATGCTCTTTTTTAAAGTACTGTAGTGTTCTCAGACAAGCTTGGCTTTACCAGTGATGAAGACAGACTTAGCTGTATTACTTTGATTAAAATTCAAAGTAAATGAGCACTAAACTCACAATGCTTATCAACAGAAATTGGTTTTTGAAAAGCAGAACGAGCTAGACAACTTTTGAGAAAGGGACTAGCTAACACTGGATTTCATGAGCAAATAAACAGTGAGAATAAACATTAAGTCTCTGTTTTACTGAATGTTGCTCACTATGGACTCAGTACAGGAACAGGAGTCTAAGAAGGAATCCTAAGAAGATGCTGAGAAATTTTGCAGATTATTTTATCTTATTGTTTGTAAGTAAATAATCTGCCATGGAAATCACTACCTCTATATAGACTGTAAAAAGATCTTTATTATTTTTCTAGTAGTGACAATATGCTGGATACAAGGCAAACAAAAAAGGCAGGCTCAGTCTTTGAGTATCTAAGGCTCCACACTCATCTCTGAATCCAGCACATGAATCCTTGAATCCTGGCACAGGAGCAGGCGCCTAGAGACAGGTACGGAAGAGATGAGACTTGGAAATCCGGGAACAGGAATGACTTTTCAAACGCACATGAACATTGCTAAATTCAGGCAGAAGTGTGTTTCCAGATGAATCTGAATGTGTTCCTGTAAACTAGCTATGATCGCTATTATAACCTCAAGACAACAGAGGGTAAAAATAAAGTGAATATATACAGCTGATTAACAGAACAGTACTTGTGCTATACGGCACAACTAATGGAATCAAAGATCAACACTAACTGTAAACTTGCCACTGACTTCAGTGGGATCAGATTTTTCAACCTTTATTCCTAGCTTTATGATCAGATCCTTCAAACACTTAGGCACATGTTTAAAACTAATCCCCTTTAATGGCTCTTGTCCGTGCATAAAATTACTTGTGTGTGCATCTCTGGAACTGAGCTCAAATTGGTAAAGATTTAACATGGTTATGGCTCTAAATTTAAACCAGTGACACCTCTACCGTGCTCTGTAAGCAGGACCTTAGTAGTTGGCAAGACAACCCCTAGCACTAACCTCTGTGAAGCAACTGTTAAGAGTAGCAATAACCGAGGACCACAGCACTTTACAGCACCTCCTAGTACAAGCAGACTTTGCTGGATTTCATTGAATATCCATGTAATATCACCAAAAAGGAGAAGGAATTCCTGGATAGATATCACACATTGGCGCACACAACTGGCCTGATGATTTCACAGCAGAGGCTTCTGTTGCTGGCTCTATTTTTTAAAAGGACTGAGTAATTCTTAGACGAACCTCCTGAGGTGCCGAGCAAATCCAGTATGCTCAAGATACCACTCAGCAAGACTGACTTCAGTTCAGGGAACTCTCTTGTCTCCTTATAGCTCTGCAGGGTAAAGAGTGATACAGGCGATTAAACTTTGTGCTCTGAGTGATATACTGATCTCCTGTGGCCATCGGGATGGAATTTCAGTATCAGGCAGATGAATTAATTTTTCCTCCCTTAGCTTTTGCCCGGATTATCAACTGTTAGTTGCTGCCAGCAGCAGGAACTTGGACCAGATGGGTCCATGGTGCAATCCATGTACAACTCCTGTATTTCTGGGATGTAGCAAGCCAAAAATGAGGTCAGTCTTGATTTTTGTATAACAAAATTAAAGAGCAAGTAATAGAAAATAAATGGTAAACACAGAACAAAGACAAGGAGAAAGTACAGATAATCTTTCTGTGGCTTCTTAGCCAATCAAACATGATTCTTCCACACTGAACAGAAGGACAAACTTGGTAAACGTGATGCAATAGCGTGAATGTTGGCCACAGATCTCTTAGTAATATATTTGATTCCTTCTCACAAGTGCTTATCTGAAAAAATTCCAGTTGACTTGAACAGTTACATGAGCAGAAAAATTACAAGAAGCAGTGTTAAACAGCTGGGAACAGGTGCCTAGGGAGATACGCAGGGGAAGGTAAGGAAGGCCAGGAAGGCCAGACTTAATATCTTTATTATTAACGAGCTGGAATAGCGAGTATAAACAGGAGGTTAATGACATCTGCAGATGGTCACAACGGGAACTATTGCAACACCAGTGAAGACAGAGAAAGAGTACAATATATTTCAGACATTAAAATGCGGGTCAAAAAAGCCAAAAAGCCCTTCATGCACAGAGCAAAAGTCAACCACACGGTAACTCTTTATTGTCAGAAAGGAAGTTGGAGAGCAGGATGCCTGTGAGACACTTGTGCTGAAGCTGGACAGGAATCCTGATGCGAGTTTCAAACAGTCAGATGCATGCTTTGAGGGGTGTCACATCACAGTGTAAAAGAGGGAACTGCCTGCTCTCTGCAGGCTACAGATTACAACTTGAACATCAAATTCACTTCTAGGCATTCACTACTAAAATATGGCAATTCAAAGGCAGTTCAGGAAAGAGCAGTAAACCTGGACAAGATGAGTGAAGGGGAACAATTTATGAGGTAAGATTAGAAGAATTACATATAAATAGGCTTGCCAAGAAAGTTCTGCATTACAGGAGACATACGCAGTTTTTCAGCATAACACCCCTACCATGGAGAAGAAATTGTTTGGACCCTGTAAGTGGAATTGGTTAATCACTGACATGACAATTTGCCATTACTTGCAACCTTAAATGGAAAGTGGCATGTCCTTTTTAAAGATAGGCAGTAGCTCTAACAGCAATTAGGAACTTGCTTCCAGGGTACCGGGGTGAACACCTGTCCCCTACATACCGCAGGAGAGCGGACCACATCTTCATAACGCTTTTATCTGGCTCAAAAATCTGTGAAACAGCAGGCTGCAATAACAAATGCCCACTGCTATATAATGACCAATTTTATATTTTATACATTTATTACATCTCTTGCAATGGCTGTTGCTATCTCATAGTACCAATGATAATAACAATGATATCAAGAAAAAAAAAACTTTCAGGGAGATCTGTTATTAGGTAGTGTATTCAGCTCTCTGCATCCTAAAGAAAGTAATTTTTTCCCTAAATGTAATTCTAAATCTTGCCTTTGATGGTGTAATACTTTTTTTTTTTTTTCAAATATCCTTTTTAATTTCAAACTTTGGAATGATCATCTAAGCATAAACAGGAAGCAATTCTCTTTATGAAATCAGTTTCATGAAGTTACTTGTATTTGAACGGTTAGTGGTCTATTTGGTATGTTTGAAAACATTTTGATGAAAAGTACAGTGGATTTACAGTTTCTTACTAAACTTTTTGTAAGCCAGGCCCCAAACAGCAGCTGGTTCTGTGTGAAAACCTATGCCTGTACAGAGCTCCAACTGAAAATAAAATATCCAACAAGATATGAGTACAGAAATCATCATTTTCAGACCAGGAGAACAATATTCTGAAGCACCAGGATTTGGCTGAGCCAGTGTAAGAATAACTTAGCACACTGGTAGATGTGCCTTTCATCATACTTGCTTTTTGCATGTTTAGGTAGCTTAAAAAATTCTCAGTTTGTTTACAGAAAATGTAATTTAGCTAAAAATACTATTTCTAAAAATACTTTGTTTAAGAAAGACTTACTGAGCAAATAAACCATTTTTCTCTCAGTGGGAATACTTAAATTAAAGCTCGTGAAAAGCATGCCACAAAATAAATATTTATTGGAGATCACTAACAGGGAGATATTTTTATTTAAGTATGCTGAATATACAGTAAAAGTCAGGGCGATCATGTATAAAAAGTAGGAAGAAAAACAGTTCCTTTAAAGTTTGTGCATGTTTTGGCTTTCTGCTGTCTGCAGTGTCTTCTTAGAAAGCTGAAAATAATGAGCCCAGTTCTGTCACTCTTATTCAGACAAAACTACCAGAAAAGGCTTGACAGCATGTGATCAAACTCTACTTTTATAATTCTAGATTAGTGGTTTTCAGCTTTTTCAGAGTTTCCACTAGAAGTGCAGACTCTTGCTTTGTGTGTTAACCAGCCAAACAACAGATTTGCTTTACTTAAATTTTCATCTCTTCTTAAAAATAGTCTACTACTCTTATCAAAAATCAACTCGTATTTCATCATCGGGGTGGGGTGTTTCTGAGCCATAGGCTGAAAACGCAGACCTAAAGAACTGCAGTATTCATGTATTTCCTTGCCTGTGCTCTTACAGCAAACTGGAAGGTGTGCCTTTGGGGATATATGCAGTGGGGTAGGCAAAGATAAACTCTGTCGGTCTATAACCAGAGCACACACTGTACTCACATATATTTAGGAAGCCAGTGAAGTGCCTGGAGTCACATCACCAGGCCACCTATCTCTCAGTGAAAGCATCCGAGCTCCTACGGGACAACTACAAAGTCATGGTGGGGGAGGGGGGTTTCTTGGCGACAGTCTTTTGAATGGAGTTAACTCGACACATCACAACTTGCGATACGTCACCTTTCGAGGGGTGCTCTGTACTCCCTGCCGTGTACGTGTGTTTGTGAGCTTCATCTCCATCTTCTTCATTTTTCATTTCTCCTTCCACCCCATTACACATATTCCTCAGGCAAGTTTTTATGCATTTACCTTATACCTGCCTAGTTAGAGGTCTGCCTTAATGTCTTTCGTCCCTCTGTTCCTCAGCGGAGCGAGTTACTCCTCGGGACCAGCGCCTCCTCAGCCAGCCTCCTGCTGTACTTCTCGGAGGCCGACGTGAATGGCAGAGAAACGGCCCAACCAGCCCAGCCAAAGGTGGGATGCAAAAGGTGGGACCACGCAAGGGAACTGACTCTTTGCACACGTCCATGGCCTGCCAGCACCCTGGCTCTGCTCGCCTCGGGGAGAAGGCTGCCGGGGCAGGGCGGCGGGGGGGTCCTGCCCCGGACTTGCCTGTCACCCTCGCTGAGCAGCGCGGAGCCTCCACCCCTCTGGAAGGAAATGTCCCCTCATCCCAGCACGGCCCTTCATGACCTCAAACGGGACCGTTAACCCG